CCATCGTATTTGCAGACTACTTGACCCAATTCACCTAATCTCCTAATCTAGGAACACAATATTTTTGTAAAAGGGGTTACAAAAATCTCTTCTTTGACACACAACTATACACTTTGTACCCCAAGTAGCGACACTCAGTTTTCATCTACTAGAATAGAGGGATGTGATGCGGTGACAGGTAAATTAGACACTTTTGTCATTACCTAGATAACAAGTAAGACGATTGTTAAGTGAGATGTAATTCAGCTCATAACCCTGGATTTTTCTAGGACTATTTTGTAATGTACCTAATAGTTTGTACCATTTGATATAAATAATTCTTGCCCGCAATATGTGTGGTGCAGTTTAAGGGGTGTGAAACATTTTTGATGCATGTGCATTTTACAAGCATTACCTGTCATGCCAACGGAAGGTGCATTTTGATGAAAATTGCACAAAAGATGCAAACCAAAACTCAGAGGTATGAATGCATCTTGGGAGAAGATAGAGGCCATAGAATGGAACATGTCTCCCAGCCCATGGTTCTGTCATCCTTAAAAGTAATGTGCTCTCCTGCAGTATACATAAGGCAAACTTGGAGATCATACTTCCTTTTGTAAAAAGTCCTGCCTAAACACAGTTAACACAGGATGCCTAAAAATTACATTAATTAGCCAAAAAGTGTGTCCCTGTCTTATTTGATTTTACTATGGTGCTGGGGCTTGACTTTATGGTTAGGCTCTAATAACTGGCAATTCCTCATCCCTCGCTCCTTACTGGCCACTTAGGCCCTTTAATTGAACAGTGGAATAGCAGTTGTTAGGGAGTGGCAAGTGTAAATGGTGCAAAGTACATTAAGTACTTAATTTCCTCTTTTGAGAAAACAGAAGGATCAGCTCAGTCAAGTAGAGATTTTATAACAATCTGGAAATCCTTTGTGTGCAATAATTATTGCTTTCAGCGCTTGTTATTACACAATAGAGTAGTCCTAAAAAGATCAATCCTACACCAGATCCAGTCATTTATGGTCACTCTTAAGACCATGTCACATAAGCAATTCTGTTACTGGTGACCACTTGCCAACAACAGGATTGCTAAGAGACCTTCGTTACCTGTGCTACCTCACTAACCGGGCCAGGATGATGTCGGTCCTTTACTGCCCCCTCCCTAGCGAGGGAGGTTCAGCAGTGTTCCTAGCCAGTGAGTGATAGCCCCCCACTGGGTATCAGTGCCAGCAGCAGAATTGCTCTGTGATATGGCCCTAAGCGTGAGGACACACAAGTTTCTGCACACCATGAATTTTGTATGCTGACCTGATAAAGGATTTAGCACATAATAACTTCCTCTATTGAAGTTGTAAACTGATTCAATCAAATCTCATATATAGAGAATATTAAAGGTGTGCCCATTTCACTGAGGCACCCACTGGACTGTTGTAACAAAATATAGTTTAGATCAGTGGTTCTCAACATGTGTAACCTCAGGACCCACATTTGTCCTTGGTCATTAAGTCGCAATCCAAGTCGCACCACATTGGAACGCACAGCATTGCGGTACTGCACGTTCCGTTGCGGGCGATCAAACTGTGGGCAGGAGGTGTGTTTGTCTCCTGTCAGCGCAGAAGCTGGGTAGGCATTAGCAGGGACTTCGCTGCAAGTAGAAAACTTGCAGACAGCCCTTCTAAAGCCTAGTCTGTTGTAGTAACATTCGTTTGCTTTTTTTTTTTATTACAATTGCAAATGCTAATCCAGCAAACTGTACACATCCCCCTGCCTGATTTGCAGCTTATAATGAACCTCAGGGATAGAGACAACACCAGTGCCCCAGAAACATGTAAACCGAGACCACACAGGGGCAGTGGACGCTGATGCTGCACATCTTTTCAGACTTCCGCTGCTAGATGATTTGACATCCCATTGTTTTCTACATCCCTTTTTACTACCGACTTTTTGTAAGTACAATACAGTTGTGCGTTTTTATCATTAAAATGTGTTTTACACTATTGAGGCGCTCCTTTTTGTCTCTCAGATTGAAGGTCTTTTGACCTGTGGGAGCTGCCTCTTCAGTGTGTCCGTTACCATTGCAACTGGCCGATATTGCACGTGGAGGCGCCGGTATTGTTTCCTGTCACACATCCCCCTGCCTGCCTACCTTTCTCAGCTTCTAGGCAGACTGAACTACCAAGCCTATTTGATATCAATCCATCGCGCTGGGGTGGCTTGATATCTGCTGCACTCTGTACTGCAGGCTGGGACTTTAACTTGCTTGTCTGCACCTGCGACTCCTGATATCATTCCGCCGGCCGAAAGTGAGAAAATAGTCCCCTCTCTTCCCGGGCCCTATTACTTCAGCGGGGCGACGGGGGAAAGGGGGCCAGTTTCACAACACGGAGTTCCCTTAGACTGACAGAAAATCCCCCCTCTATGTCTCCCTACTGAAGATGGGCTGCTCCATACAGGAAGGGTGCCGCGACCCGCTGCAGAAGGGCACGCGTCCCACTTTTGGATCACAACCCATGAGTTGAGAACCAGGGGTTTAGAGGCATGTCAACTGCAACAAAACTGACCCTACTGGGTATCCAACACAATTTATGATAGCCACCACACATCTTCTCTGTGGCAATCACCAGCTGTTCTAGTAAAAGTAAAGCACAAATAAAACACTAGGTGGTATCACATTAAAGATAACCTGTCATCTATGTAAGCATTTTAAAAGTAAAAGTCACATGCTTGCTATTAGTGGGGTGTTTTTTTTTTGCCACACAGCCCTCTTCTGTGTGCCTCTATGAAGCTTGATATCCCTCACATCAGGGATAAGGAAATCCACCTACCTGCACCATATTCTTTAAAGGATCATCATGTTATCTGTGTGCTTTTTGTCCCTGTTTTCAGTAAATAACCAGGATACACTACTGGGCGTGCTTTTACTGCCATTAAAAAGTACATTTCGTCATTGCTGCACAATATGTAGAATAAATTATCTTTCTATTGGACTATTTAACAAGCTTGGTCTGACTACAGCTACATTATGTAAGATGTGCCATACAAACACTGGAGGACAATATATAAAAGGGATTGCAAACTGGAGGTGTAATGTTATCCTCACATATATGAAGAAAACACAAATTGCACTCTACCATTACTATTTATAATTGTGACATATGTGTCATGAAGCTGCAACAACAAGTACACCCCCACATAATGATAGATAACATCCCATTTAGTATATTGTCCAAATAAGGAAACAGTACAGAAAATATGCATATACTGTATTTTGAAGAGAAGAACAAAGACGCAAAGGGTAATTAAACTGCATTTTCAGATTCAGTTTTTGAAAATGTATCTCTATTTTATAGCCATTAAATCATAATGCCAATCAATATACTCCCAAAGAGTTTAATACATTGTTTAAAAGTGGTCTTCGTTAGCAATGTAGATAACTCACAGCAAATGAGCTTTGTGGAATTGCTGAAATCAATGTATGGATTGGTATCGCCTAATTACACTTTTTTTCTTAAACATACTGTATACTATATGTGTATCACAAAGCAGTACTTATTTAATTTTTTGTGTGTTGACATATAAGCTGATCCAATAGGTATGGTAGCACGCTCCTTACCGGTAACCCCTTGAAAATGAGTACTGAAATGACTGCAGATGGCGCCGCTGGATCAATGGAGAAACAAAATGTCACCATCACTCCAGAAAAATGTGCACAAATATAGGTGATGCTAAACTGCATTATTGTCACACTGAGACTGATGAAGGGACCCTTTGTGGCCCTGAAATGTTGCCATTTTCGTGACAATATGTGTCAGTAAAAGATGTTTATTTGGACACATTTTTCTGGAGTGCTGGTGACATTTTGTTTTTACATATCAGTCGATACATATGTATATATACCTGTTTGTTTCTCTGGTGATTTTCAATTGAGATCAAACGTGGGTTTTTTTTCGTCTTTCATGTTGACCTCTTTTTTTTCTTTTTTTTTATTCATTTGGGCAGTTTGAATGTATTTGAGAGTATTTTCTTAAAGTGACACTAAACTCGAGTTAAATCTTAAAAATGCATTCAAGTACCTTAACTATTAACAAAAATGTAGCTTATTTGTGTATCACTCAGCTGTAGATCCTCAAATCATCTCTGAATTGTTACTGACACTGTCCTACCTTCTGGAAGGTGGCTACGTTTGTTCCCGATGGGCCCTGTGTGTTTGTAAAGTTTCAGTGATGCTCAGTGTCATTCAACCCACATCCTGTGAGCCCAGGGCATCAAAGAACCGTGTTTCTGTGCAGCATTTAGAACCCACCTCTTGAGAAACAAGAGGAGGAAGAAGCTGTGATGTCACACAATCGGAGACTAAAGATCAATTAAAAAAAGGTATGTATACACACTTTTAAAAAGGGGACAGGGATGCTCCACGAATAGTGGAGAGGTGGTGGAAGTTGGCCTTTAATCTTGCTTAGAATATTGTGACAATGTATAAATAAATATATATATAAGATGACTGTATTTTTTAATTATACTTGGACAAATGTGTGGTCAATAACTATAGGGAAAAGACACTTTTTTGTTTCTGCCCCCTGTAGTTACAGGCCTACTGTGCTTCATATCCAGCAATGAAATGAGGAACGCCTAGCCTCAGAAGCTGTGGAATGGAAGATGGGTGTGAAAACATGACTTCAAGAAGTTTGACTTCCACAGCTACGATATATAAATGGCTACCATTTTTATTATTTGTATCCTGTTTTCCCATAGTGTCCACTGATATGGGATATGGCTGCATGTGCCACCATTTTCTCATATTTTTTGGGGAACTGAAGATTGTGCTATGTAATCATACACACGCTTACTATACAATATAGCTCATGATCATTCTGCAGAAGTGTTTCTATTATGAAACTGTGTCAAAGGTAAGAATTGTCCTGTATCTGTCATTATGACTTTTCCTGATTTAAAAGTGACTTTAGATACAGTATACTTTAACATTTAACATAATCCTGTAATTTGCAAATAGCTTACCTGTATGCTAATAAAGGTGGTATATTGGTGTGCTTTGACCACTAAATATGTTGCTTCTATGTCAATAATGCCTAAGAACATATACTTCCACCATCTTCTTTTCAATATCGCCAACAAATTTTCTTCCCCTGAAATGGAAAAATTTAAAAATATTAAAATACATGCTTGCAAATTATTAACATAAGCAAGGAACTTTACAATTTTAATTCTATGTGATTAAATACAAATGTATGTAATCTACAATATAAACCGATTTAAGCAAATAGTAAATTAGACGACCCAGATTTACTGTGTGTATTTCATGTTTCTGTAATTCCAAAAGGAAAAAAGTGTGACATGCTGGTTGACTGACTGTAGTTATAGAGCAATTAAGAGGGAAAAAAATCCTTAAGCTTCACTCACATAAGCAATTACATGCCTGCACTTATATGTGCTTATATGACATTTCTAAATGCATATAATAGTTTTTAATGGTATAATTCACACTGGAGGGAATTTATCAAAACTGGAGCAGACAGAATCTGGAGCAGCTGTGCATGGCAACCAATCAGCTTCTCTCTTCAGTTTGTTCAGTTAAGATTTGAAAATGAAAGAGAGAAGCTGATTGGTTGCCATGCACAGCTGCTCCAGATTTTTGTCTGCTCCAATTTTGATAAATTCCCTTCACTCTGTTTAAATAACTAGAATTGTGCATCCAGAGGCAGATTAGATACTCTGAATGCCTGTAAAGGTATGTAAAGATATGTAAACACAGGTAAATTTAAATGCAGGAGAAAGTAATCTGGGAAATGTAAAGTTTGTTTATACTTTCTCCCCAAAAAATTTAACATTTGCATAAAACAAACGCTTTAGGCTTATTTCAATGTAGCAAGCCTAGCTTTACCATAAAAGTTTCAGTAATGTCTGTGGTGGTGCTGTTTCACCTTTAAACCTGAACTATGGACGTGAAAAAAAAATTCTTTCTAACCATTCCACCTGCTACTATAGTTGATATATTTTTTAAATAGATTCTAATTTACTCACCTCCACACTAATATTCACAGTGCCTTTTCATGTAATGGAGACCAGTCAGCACAAGCTGCTCTCTATACAACTGACCAGTCTTCTTGGCTTATTGCTATAGGCAGTGGAGTTTCTGAGTCTATAATCTATTGCATACATAGCAGAAATGATCAAGATCAATGGTTTTTCAGGAACATCACTCAATTTTTAAATAAAGATTGTCTGCATTTCTGACTGATCTTCTGCCCGTTGTCTGTAGTAGAATCTTCACTGGATCAGATCAAAACATTTCAGCCAATGCAAGACTTACAGAAATTGAGGAGTTGTGTTAAGATGTTTTCAGATACTTTTAAGGCAAAGATAAAAAAGAGATCATTAAAAAAAAAAGATCAGAAGGGGTGCATGCATGAGGTGACCTAGATGGCTGGCATTTAAAGATTGTTTGCATGACTGAAAAAGAAAGGCCACCTTCTCTAGTAAACCTGAGCTGCTTATCACCTGCTCGCCCTCCATTTGGTTTCCCATGCACTTGCTGCCTCTGGAGATTATAATGGTGATCGCTGAAGCAAAGGCAAAAGGTAAAACTTGCCCCATAACCAAAATGGAGGCATTGCCTCATGCAGCTGCTAAGATGGCAGCTACAGAATCCGCTAACCACGTATTTATCCCAGAACCAGCAGGCATGGAGATCGTATGTCCAAAAGATTGTGGGGTTGGTTTGCTAACAGAAAATAGGCTGTTTACTTTGCACATTGCAGGGGAAGTTTCTCTTAGCTTGGTGAATGTGGTGAAATTTCACTTTGCAAAGTATACCCAATCATGTGCAAGGGGAAAAAAAACTGTATTTTGCTTGCACATGATTGCATAATAGAAGTCAGCAGAATTTCACTAAACTAAGGAGAACTTCCTTGCAAACTGCAAATTCCCTTGCAAAGTGAACAGCCTATTTTCCTTTAGTAAACCAACCCCTATGAATCATATCTCTTAGCCTTAGGGGTTGATTTACTAACCTTATAAACACGCCACGAACAAGTATACACCTCTGTAGTGTGTTCCCTCCCAGCATGATCTATTGGTGGAATCTAGACACCTTTGTAGTGTGTACACCCCCAGCAGGTGTGTTGTGCAAAGCCCTGCATGAATTGCAAGGTGATGTTGTGTAAATTAGCTCTACATTGTGTTGCTTGCGTTGATGAATGCAGGAATGTAAATGCATGAGCTAACCATTTTTGTCTAAACTGTGAAGCAGCATTATATATGCATCATGTGCATGATTTTTCCATATATGGCATTAGTGGAAATATGCTTTTAGAGACTTTTTGGTTGATAAATACGTTTTGCTGTGTAAAAATCACACGCACCTAGTGCGTGCGTGTGTTTAGGTTAGTAAATCACCCCCTTAGTCTGATTTTTCAAAACCAAGACAGCCAAGGCCTAGAGATAGCAGCACATCACCCTAAACAATTGTTTATTTGCGGACTATATTATTGTGATACATAATAATCCTATAATTTCCTTGTCTAATTTACAAGACTTTTTTACAGTTTCACTGCCATATCAGTCATCAACATAAATATACACAAATCCAAAGCCCCCCATTTGGTAGCAGATCACCTCCCAGATTTGGGCATCACTCTTTCTAAATCATATGATACTATCTATCAAGTTATCCTCTAACATCCTCTTACCATCAAAACTTTATAAAATATATTTATGCAATGGGAACATTATCCAACTTCTTACATTTTTGCCCAGTTATTATACCGCCTCCAGAGTGCTTCCAGTCCCAATACCTTCCTATATTCTTTGAATTCTATCTGTAAACCACTGAGACCTAGAGCTTATTATATTCATTACAAACCGAAACTCAGAGTCCCATACCTGGCTTCCTATTATTATGCTGCTCAAATTGCACACATTACACTTCTCCATGCAACGTCCAATATCCCCTTCTGGGTTAGTCCTGAGGCCTATGCAGTCTCCCCACTTAGTATTTGGTTCCACCAATTTATAGGTGTCAGATCTCTAACCTCATAATCACACATTCTTTAAAAATGTTGGGCAATACAAAGTATTCTTGTAAATGTATTTTCCCACATCTGCCCTTGTCCACGCTTTTGGGTAACTCAATCGTTTATCCAACCTGGCTCTCCCCACAGTCAAATGGTGGTGGTGGTCTGTCAACGTCCAAAATTATTGCTAAAAAAAAAATTATAAACTCTACAAAGTTCCAACGCGCATAGCTCGAGCTTTCCCAGGTTATTGTCCTAATTGTTTTAGAGGCTGCCTGGATAAAGGTTCCCTTACCCAAATCTGGTGGAATTGTCCAGTAAACAAGCAGTTCTGGTCACTTACATATGACCTCATTTCTACCTTACTTGGTAACCCTCTCACAGTGGACCCTTGAGGAGCCCTCCATAATAAAAGCCCTCTAACTGAACCAAAAATGAGACCCGTCCAAATACTCACATATTTACAACAGCCGAACAGATGATAGCTAAGGCACTGAAAAAACCTACTATCCCATTTGATGAAATGAAATGATACATATATCACTGCATAATGTATGAAAAAATGAATTCTATAAAAAGGGACAAAATCCCCAAATGTCACAGTATTTGGGAACCTCACTTCCTGCTATGTCATCAACTCAACACATGGAACACATTTGGAATTTGCTATCCTGTCATGTTTTTTTCTTACCCCCTTAAACTTACCATTCACCCTATTTTACCTTTCTCTCCTCCCCCCATTTTTTTCTCTCTTTCTCTAACTAGCAATTGTGTCCTTAGGGGAAATAAAAAATGCCTGTTCATGTTTATGACAGTTTTCTTGTACTGTATTTAGAAGTTCAATTTTTTGGCGGCAGAGTTACTCATTAAGCCATTGTAAAAGAAAAAAAAAAGATCAGATATAAAAATTGGGATAGTTATTTTGGTCAAGGGTCGCTTATTCCAGTTTTGTCTCCGGTGCTTTGTAGTTTTAATGAAACTGCTTTTTCTAATATAAAGATGAGAGGGGGTGGCATTACTGATGCCACAGTTCTTGCTACTAACGTATTGAAACAGAAGAGTTGGATAAACACTTATTTTTTAAACTAAGAATAAAAGAGGAGATCATATATAAAAAAATATTACCAGCCTGACTTTCGGGATGTATGAAAATTAGAGGCAATTAACTCCCTATATTTCCCTATATTGTTCCTAATTTCCATATAGGAACAATTAGTAGACCGTAGAAAGAAACTAAATTGTAAATTTACAAACATAATTACATTTCTCAAAAAATAGACTGCACGAAAGAAATGCAAATCATATTGTACTAACTAAAATACACAAAAAGATGGGCGCAATCATTCATCTTTAAAAATGCTGATATGTAACAGTACATATTTATGTATACTGAGAACATTTCTGGCCCCCTGAAAAACCTAATCGTCAAGCTGCCATGCAGATACTCTGGCTTCAACACTTTCTGACTCACTGATCTGAACAATGCATGCAGGTGAGGAGTTCTGACTTCCATTTGACCTTACTTCCAGCAAACTTGTTCCAAGTCAATGAAAATTCTGAAGCCATAGACGACCAAGCAACTTGCATTTTTAGTGAGGATGAGGCCTTGGAGAAACTGTGAGCAAATGTGGCTCAAATAAAGCCACATAAGCCATATATGACATACAGAAATATGACCTATAGTGGGCCATAGGATCATTCATATAGTGGTAACCATTTTTAGGTCATACTGTATCTAACTTGCAGGGCTTTATATAAGATCCCTTAGCTCAAATGTATTATATAGTGTTTCCTCGTTGAAGGTACTAAATGCTACATATACAGTTCTCCACAAATCTCCACTTTTTACTCAAATAATCTTAATATGTTATTCAATAGGTTGAAACTGGCATAAGTAAAAGGCATCTGCAATTCTTTATTTCAACATCCACAAAGCAGACACTTTTTGTGTTTACTTTATGACTTAATATTCCTGAAATAATAAAACAAATGAAAATGACAGACATATTTATTGGTACTTCTAATATAATATTTCGTAGTCCGCCCTTCAAAGGCAATGATTGCAATCAAGCACTTTGTGTAGGCCATACTAAGACTTCTACACTTCTTAACTG